TTAATCTGTATTATTAGGTGATTTAATTATTAGCTTAGGGATGTTTTCAAAATTATCATCTGATTTACTATTAAATTCATTAAATATATGTTTTATAAAATTATTGAATTCTTGCTAAATAAATTCGAATTATGTATTAATATATTCTTCGGATTAATTATTAAGCATTTTTAATATATAAAGTATTATATATAATTAGAAGATAGGTATAAATTAAAAATGATATATGAATGGGTATATAAAAAGAAAAATATAAGATAGGCATATACATATCATTAAATAATTAATAAGTAAATATCCTTCGTTTATTTTAAGTATATGTTTTAATTGAATGATTTATCTTAAAAAGGTAACTTACCCTATAATCATAATTAACAATTAGCCACTTAAATGGATATATAAGGTTATAATATCTAAAATATAGCTTATTTATTAGGTTATATAAATTTTAAACTAAATCAAACTTTAAATTAATTATCCTAATCTTATTATTTCCTTAACTATCTCCCTTTTTTTAATCGGTAAAATTCCTTATATTTTATTACCATTTAACATGATTATTCATTGTATAACGATTTATATTAATTCCTACAATACCTCCCGCTCTGGAAGAAATGATAAATCTAGGCTCTTAAGTAATTATTTAAAAATTACTTTAAGCGTTTAATTAGGATAACTTTATTAATCCCTTAAATATAACCCAAAATAACCTATTACGGGAAATAGCTATTAGATATACATAAAAATCAGGCATATCCAGGCCATTTAAACCTATTTAACCATTTGTTAAATAACCAAAAATTAAACCATTAGGTAGAATATTAAAAATTTTAAAAAAAAAACACCATAAAAAGAGACCTAAGAATGGTAATAAATGATTAAATTTTAGATAAATATAAAAGATAGGCATTATTTTAATATGAAAAATATTAACATATTAACATTTATTCTTCAAAAGATATAAAGGCTGCAAAGATTGACTAAGCTTATAATACCTAAATTATTATTTTAACAATTAATACAAAAACTTATATAATAATAGAATCTTAATCTTTATATAACTTCATCAATACTTAGGATATTATAAAAAGCTACTAAAAATTATATAACTTATATTTTCTTATATAAGTAAAATATTTTAATAAATATTCTTTTTTAATAATTATTATAGGTATAAACTTATATGCTATCCATATAAAGAAACTCACCATTCAAAAGAATAATATAAATTTATTTCATAATATACTATGTTAAATAGGCCATTAAGGAATGTAATTAATTTTAAATTTAATTTAATAAATCCTTATTATGTTTATAATCGCCATGCCGGCAAAGTTTAATCTAATAATTAATAACTTAACGTAATAAATAATATTTACCATCATTTTTATTATTTATTCTTATATAGATAACATCTTTATTCCTTATTTCTTTATTTTTTTTTATTCGTTATTCATTTTTTTATCTCATCCATACAAAAGTATATTATTCCGCTTCCGCTGCTTATTTTTAATAAGATAACATAATATATTAACTTTTTAATCTTTTACATCCTTATAATTTATATAATCTTACGTTTATTTTGTATAACTAAATGATTATTATAATTTATAACTTACCATAACTTAATAATCATTTTATTTTATAATAATATATAAGAATCTTAATTTAATATATATTAATATTTACTTTAATGGTTTTAAAACGCCAAAATCCGCTTAATTTGCCTAATATAACTAATCCTTCTAATCCTTTAGCAAAAAGATCTAAAAACATTTGTTCTCATAATGCATATAACTTTTTAAATATATCTAATCTATCTAATCTTATTCAGGAAAAAAAATTTTTTAATAATTCACATGTAATTAAATGGCAAAAAAAATTAAAAACCCTTATTAAAGAATAGATTAAGGTTGATAAATAGCGTCATAACTTATATGTAACCATTACACAAAAAATAAACACATAAAAAAAAAATATCCCGATATCTTAGACGCTAAACTAAAATGTAAATATAAAAAAATCGAGTAAGCTACTTATAACTTATAATAAATCCCCATTTTTTAATATATTTATATCTTTTCATAACTTTAATTATTTTTTATTAAAATAATATCTATTTATTATATCCATCTCTTATTTATACCTACATTTAACTAATAAGATAATCGATCTCAAAATAAACATCCCAAATAAATTATTATATTTCTTAATATAAAATATAACCCCAAAATATATAATAAATCAAAAAATCTTGGCTTAAAATTAGATTTAATCTTAGATTTAGACTTTAATCTAAACAATAACCCTAAATTAAGATCAATAAAACCCCTTACCGGCTTTAAAGCTTAATTTACCACTTTTATAATCTATCTAGATAATAATATTAAAATTAAAGATATCCTTAAGGACAATCCTAATTTTAACCAAGCTATTACCATTACCGATAAACTAGATAAAAAAAGATGGTAAACCTTATTAGATATAATCTTAGAGTTAACAATAAATATTACTATAACAATTACCAATAATTAATCACTTAATTTAACTTGTAAAAACCATATCATTATATAAATAAAAGAAATATATTTTAATTAAAGTTTATATATAATTATTAACTTAATCTTTTAACTATTATTTCTTATATTCCCTAAACTTATAAGATATAAAAGAATATTTAAGCAGACAGCTTAATAATTAGAAATAGATCATATCACTAATATCATATTCGAAGCCGCCAAAAAGTTAGCTAAATTTTGTCCTACCTGTTCTATGGTTATAAACACACAAGTTATTAAACTTCTAAAGATAAAATATATAAATTAAATATTAATTTAATTATTTATTATTATATTATAAGCATAGGATTTTCAAGTTTTATAGCTTTAGAAAAATAACTAGATATAATTTTTATAAATTTTTTATTATAAATTTATTAATTTATACGATCGCTTTTCTTTTATAATAAAGTTTATTTTAGAAGCTGTAAAGAATTATTTTACTTAATTAAATCAAAAAGTCTTATAAAATATATTAAATAATAACCTTGGTACCTTTTATAATTAGTTAACCTTTTCGAAACGTTAATTAATAAAATAGCTTATTTTAATTTATAGCTAAAATATATTCTTTTAGCAAAAAAATCATCTTAAAGCTAATTATTATCTTCGTAAATATTAAACTTTTAGGTGATATATTAAACTAATACCTATTTTTTATACCTATTTTATTACTATTTTATTAACATTTTGTAATAAATATATGTTAATTAAGCTAATTGGTTGATATCGTCTTATAATTAGACGAAAATTAGAACATTTTTTATATACTCCGTCCATATCGAAAATACTACATAAAATCATAAACTAAGGTTATATGATCTATGATAAGAAAGAGTGTATGGTGCTTAATAACTAGGTATTTCTCCCCAAACCATCATTTTTTTAGAATAATAAATATAAGTATAGGTTTTTTAATAATAATAATAACATTAAGGCTTTTTGTAAAGGGTTAAAAATATTAGCCATGCTGCTTATGTTTTAGGTATTAAAAGCATTCTTAAACATTAACCTGGATAGACATATATTTGTTTTATAATTAGTTTTTATAATAATTAATTTATAAGTCTTTTTTTTATTATAATGATTTATTATTTATTATTATTAAAAGTTAAGTAATAATAAATAAGCATATTATGATTTATGTTTTTATATTTAACGTATATATTTAATGTATATGATTATTTATTTAATAAAAAATATCATTTTATATAAAGCTTTAATATATATAAGCATTTTTTAAATAATTTAAAAAATCTACATATAAGTACTTATAGGCACGTTTTTTAACCTATAGGTTTTTAGGTAAAAACCTACCAAAAAAAAAACCTACCTATGGGTATTTATGGGTAGGTTTTTTAACTTATGGGTAAATGGGTTATGGGTTATGGGTTTAAAGGTAAAGGCGTAAGGTAGTTAAGATAATCTGAGCAGATTAGTGATCATTCTTCACTCTCCCGACTTCGATCACGTTGACGGCAGAAACGAGCCAGGGTCATCAAGGGGTCACCGACGGCTGAGCCTCAAGTGCACAAACCTCTCAACGAGGCCCTTGGTAACCGAACGTCTTATTAGTATAATAAGGTAAGATATTCAAGGCAAGGATAACACAGCCTTGACGGGTTGCCTGGACATCGGACATGAATTACATCATCCCAGATATAAGCATCCAAGGAGACGTTTTGACGGACATATACATCCGTACGTACGGTGACATCAGTATAGTGGCATTTCTCTGGCGGCTCATTTGAGGTACTTCCCTCATCGCTTATTGGTTGAACTAGGCCTCCAGCCGAGTAGTTTCAATGTTACCTGTATAGTATTATACCTACCGAGTCTCGACTATCTAGCATTATGGCGCTCTCTACGGAGTTGTCATCTTATAAATTTCTTATGCCACATATTCTTCCCATGTCCTAGTGATCCTCGAAGCTTTGCCTGCATATTCACATTGGTAATTTTCATGCATGGGACTTAAACATGTAGGAAGCTGCCCTTCAACCAGGGGATACACTAAAAATGGCAAGCTAAAGCACGCCAGTCATGCTACGAGGCTCCAAGCTTGAGTGGTATGAATATTACTGGAGTGATTACTGGCATTATCAGTATTTTAGGGGAACCGCCCGCATCGGGCACAAGGAGACCGCCAACTTCAGGAGGTCCGTGAAGTAAAAGGGTGAATCAATCCTCTAAGAACGTATGGCTACACAATTGAAGACCGAAGTACCGCCCTTCACTCGGTCAGAGAAAATGTATAAAGGTCAAACATATACATGTATCATTCAGCTTGGTAGTGTAACAAGCTACATGTAAAGTAAGCAACGGGCTCCCGCCTGCCTTAGCGATGCGGGAAGCAACGATAGACACCGTACTGATATATCCAGCTTTATATATCACAAAAAAAAAAAAAAAAAAAAAAAAAAGAACTCCCCAAAAACTATAGGGCGCCTAGGGGGTTCGAACCCCTGATCTCTCCTATTCTGAAAAGTTTATTTCCCCAAAAGGAGCGAGTTACCACTTCTCCAAGACACCATTTGTTGTGTTCTGGATTCAACTACAATAATGCTTCATATTGACTTAGTTTTTTATAGGCTGCCGAGTTGTTTGTGGCAGGTGCGAGGCATTGGCGCATTACGGATACCCAGATAGCAACATGAAGGATATATCTATCACTGCAAGTCACGAGGTTTCGAACCTTAGAGTCCATTGACTACATACAGTAGTACCTAGTACTATGTATTATTTACATGTACTCTCAACTATTAATGATACTGTGTAGGTACTTACGTCGAGAGCCATAGGCAAAGACGCACTGCCACTTCGATCAAGCTGATATTTGGGAATTCTAAATGTTCATATCGATGTAAACACAAATACGAACCAGTTGATCGGTCATATGGGTATAGAGGACTTTTTGAGTCACTATGCCCCTACTTCCTACTTCCTTGAGACATCACGTATTAGTCTTGTTTGGCCCTTAATATGAACCTGCTAAGTATTTACCAGATGGAAGAATACAAGTCTCTTTTCCTCCCTCCCGACTAACGTTTTAGGTACTATGTGTAGCAAAAGAAAGTCAGTGTACGAAAGAGCTACTATTCATTTGATATGATGCGGCGTAACGGAAAGATCTGTATTTTTAGTTGCATGTGGCAAGGTTGCGTCTATCTTCCGAATCATAGCTTAAGATACAAGGGGGACCCGATTTAAATGAATTTTACACCATTCTGTGAGCTTTGGCTTAAAACTCGTATGATTTGATATTTGATAGTACCATCTCTTCCGTACGTTCAGAATATTTGTATTGTTTTTAGAAGTTTCGGCCGAGAAAACAGCTTACTGAAGTGGATAAGAACGTAGGGTAGAAATAGAAGAGAGAGACTGACAAGAAACTTGATGAATATTGTAAATGAGAGGGACATGGGACTCAATCCTCGCCCATACGCGCTTCAGGGGTAAGCAATTTAGCCACTGGCCAACTTCTTCAATCCAGCGACTGCATCAACACATGTTAGCCGGAATCGCTACTGGGAATGGGTGAAAGTGGTCGAACAGCTCGAGGATTGGGGCAATTGATGGCAAGGCAATAACGGTGAAACTACTTACGGTCTCCGTTGAAAGTGTCCGAATCACCACCATACTGGTAAGCATCATTGAACTGCCAAATTGTGTAGTATGGCCAGCCGCCAGGTGGCGTACCAGCGCTACTGCTGTACCGCGCGAGAACGAGAGGATTCGTGTTGACAAAAGCACTGGAGCCTCCAGTGCAGCTCGACCACCACGATGGGTTGGTGTATAGGAGGGGGTAGCGTCCCGTCTTGCTGTGGTATGTGTCGCTAAAGTCTTTGATCCACGAAACTATGGCGCTCGTGGAAAGACCCTCGCAGTCACCCTCGAGGTCTAACATGCCGGGAAGAGTGATGCCGTCCTTGGACCAGCCTCCGCCGTTCGCTATGAAGTAGTTGGCCTGGGCTGCTCCAGAAGAGGATCCGGGATGCGCGAAGTGGTAGCCGCCTCGGATTAGGCCGGCGTTGGTGGCGCCGGCGTAGTGGCTGCTGAAACTCCCGTCTTTGTAGGTGGTACCCTCGGTAGCCTTATTGCTATTAGCTATTTCTGTACCAAACTGGTTCGTGTTCGAGTTTCGGGCTTACCTTGATGATGACGAAGCGCGCTCCGGAGCTATAGGCTGCCGCGAAGTCCACACTCGATTGGTAATGAGAGATATCGAACCCGGGGACGGCAGCAAGGGTAAGGCTACCCAAGCCCAAAATCGTTGCAAGGAAGGATTTCATGGTTCTTGTAGGTTTCTAGGTCCCTGTATCGACTTGTGGCCTGTATATTTGGTATTTGCTTCGTGGCGACGGCGGCTTTTAATACCCTTCGAATACATTTCGACCCGTCCATATCATCCACCAAACTTACAACTACAGCGACGATCCGCACAGCATGACGTGAACATAGAGACGATTCCAAGTATGAAACGGTAATACAGATCTGGCAGGTAGTATAAATAAGCGATTGTCTCAGACATTATTGGTTAACTAGAAGATACGCTTCTTTTAGCTCGAATCTAACGTTGTCGATCAATTTCGTCTTGGTAGGTGCTTGTCAAAAGAGTAGCACCGCCAAGTCTTGAAATATGCATGGCTATGGTTCCGGAGAGTTGACGAAAGTTGCCTTCCAGCCGAATAATCATGTGAAGGTACTTTTTGAAGCCGTGGATTCAATTGGCTTACTATGCTTGCCGCCATGCCTCGGTCGGTTAGAAGCTGAGATGGCCGGCTGGCGGCGTCTTCCATTATAGACTGAAGTGCTAATCCGATCTCCTATATTAGGGCACCTAGGTTCGAAAAATTGGTTGTAGTTGAGAAGTGAGGCGGACCAATGGTTTACCCGCATCAAGTTCAGCTGAGATCCTTTAGAGCGAGCACGTTCCTGGTCCTGTGTAATGTTCCTTCCAAAAGAAGTAAATGTGGCGTTTACGTGGGCTCATGAATGACGAGATGGATCTGCCAAAGCTAGCGGCTAGTGACGCTATTCTCTGTATCATGTAACAAGCAGTTACGACATAGAGCTACTACAGCACCAAGCGAGCGACACCTCCTTGCTCTATGCCTACTTTGATACCGAAGCTGCGACCTATTCGCACGGCTACACCTTGCTTAACGCAAGGCCATCGGATTGCGCACGTTTTCCTGCATCGACCACCAGCTAAATACCCATTCCAGTACTGCAAGAGCCTGGATGTGTTAGGTACAGTAATGGAAACTGAGAACTGGGGTAGGAGGCTCCCTCGTACTACGTTCATTCAAAGCCTCTCTAAGGTAGTTTTAGTAAAATATATGAAGAATACGAATGAGTAAGCGAGTCTTGTTCTGACATAGCAGTACGTGATGCTTCACCTTACGCCGCGGAAAGACATCGCCTGTATGTAAGAGGAAACAAATTTAGCGATTTGACATCTAAGCTGCATATAGGGTGAATTTTTTTCCCCAAAAGTTCCAATCCATGATATGAACGAGCTCACCCGTTTTTAGACCAGCTAATGTAGAATCTGAACGAGTCCAGCTCTTAACACAAGAATGAGTATCGTCCACTTGATTCTAATGTACATAGTACTAGGTACTATGTAGGTTGTACGGTCAATTTAAAGTGTAGCTGTGGGTCCCACCAGCGGGACCTCCTTATCGATTATGGCGGCGGAACCGGTTTTCCCGCCGTAGCGCATGGCGGCGCTCAAGTGGGTCCGCCTCAATTGGCCCATCAACTTTTTGGTCTATCATCCCAAAAACTTTTGGTGGATTATCCATCCTGACGAATAGAGCAACCTCGACGGTAATATATTGCGCCAGCCTAGTGCCGAGATACGAGAACACTGAGGCTGAAGTCAGGAGCGAGAACAAAGGGATTATTCCCTGAAGCTAGCGTAAAAAGACTCGACATGGCGTCCGAAGTAGCCGCTGCCGCTGCCAACACCGCGCGCCGGGCAGCTAAGGAAATGCACGGTATCGTGGTATCAGCCGGGTTGATGGACAAAACCGTCAAGGTGAAGCTAGGCGGGCTTCGATGGGAGCCTAGGGTACAAAAGGTTGGCCGGGATTCCCACTAAGACTCCCAACGTTACCACAGCAAGAGCTAACGTTTACCTCTCAACTCACAGTATTTCAAAGAACCGCGCTTCAAGCTCGTCCACGACCCCGCGAACTCCGTCCGACAAGGCGACGTCGTTGCCATCACACCTTCGTGGCGCGTCTCCCAGCATGTGCGCCACGTCGTTAAGCACATCATCGCGCCGTACGGCGAACCCATCGACGAGCGTCCGCCAGTACCCACACTGGAGGAGAGGTTGGCTGAAGTAGCCGCCAAGAGAGCTGCGAAAGACGAGCGAAGAGCGGCGTTGAAGGAGGAGCGGGCGAAGCTGAAGGCCGAACAGAGGGCTGCCGAGGAAGCGAAAAAGGCGTTAAAAGCAAGTACCAAGGTGATAGAGGAGGCGCGGAGGGCGTTGCAGGCACGTGGGGTGGCGGTGCCGCCTATACAGCCGACGCAGGGTGATGTCGATTAAAGCCATGGATGCTTTGAATGGAAGGAATTTCCGAGCCAGTGCAACAAAAATACTAAGCTCAGCATCCTGGCGGCCATATCAAACGACTGCGGCATAAGAACTCGCCTCTGTCCAGCAGCCTGTATATACCAGAATCACTTGTAACATATGTACGACCATGAGTCTGTACGGCTCTGACTTAGACGTTTCAAGGGGCAAGGAACCAGTATAATTTATATTGAACCGACATCTCACGCCTAGGTATCGTATGCCAACCCTTCTCGCTTCCAGTCCCAAAACGCCACCATCGCCGGGTAAGCTTGCTATATTCGGTTTGCTATGGTCGTGAGCTTTCACCCGCCTCGCTCCCCAAACCTCCTTGCCCAGTCTTCATATTCTTTTAGCCCTTCCCTGCTGACACTCGGGCGGATCGTCTTGAGAGCAGCCTTAAAGTCTGCAAGTTCTATGGGCCGAATTTGGTCCATTGTCATATGGAGGAGGGCCTCGCCGAGCGCACGGAGGGGTCCCATTGCTGCATCTTTGGCTAGAGCTGTTATATCCGAGCCAGAGAAGCCTGTACAAAATTAGCATCTCATGGTACATGGATCGTGTAGATTCAAGTCGATACATACCATCTGTTAGATCCACCAGCTCCGCGATATCGGTGTCTGTGAGGCTGTGCTTCTGCTGGCCAAGTAACGTCTTCAACTGAGTGGCTCTAGTTTCCGCTTCGGGTAAGGGGATATACTGGCGCCTCACAAATCTTCGTCTCGCCGCTTCGTCAATCGCCCACGGTAAGTTGGTAGCCGCTAGTACAAGCACTCGGTTTGGATCGCCTCGCTCTTTATTCGCCCCATTACTTTCTCGTCCTGCCGCTGCCCGTTGTAAATCGCTCCATTGGATCAGAAATTCCGTTTTGATCCTCCTAGTCGCTTCATGTTCCCCAGACCCAGACCGTTGTGATAGAAGCGAGTCTATCTCGTCCACGAAT